AGAAGAAGAAGAAGAAGAAGAAGAAGAAGAAGAAGAAGAAGAAGAAGGAGAAGAAGGTGTGACATAGTCTTTCTAGAGTAAGAGAGCAGAGAGGGAAGCACAGGGGCCTCCCTGTCTTCTAACGTGGGAAGCTAATTGATTATAAAGCAAATGCTGTTGCAGACTCATGATGAGTACTGATCTGTAGGGGGAAGGATAAGAAATCCCGTATTAGGGCAGAGTTAAAGTCTGCGAGGCTAAAGCAACCAGACTCTCATTTTTAACCAGCACTGGATTTTGGAATCCAACACCCTTCACCAGGGCCTCATAAAGAACACTGAGGAAAGTTAACAGGTTTGGCTAACACTTGGCTCGACTGTTTCAAAGGGCTCTCTGGGATTCATAAAACAGGTGACCTTGAGAACAGTGCTGTGTTGGTCAGCCATTTTTTAAGGGCAAAGCTGAACAAGAACAGATTCATAATACCTTGTGATTTGATGAAGGTTTGGTCCTTAAAAATAGACCCATGGACTGATGGTGAAGTGAGATGACTCGGTCGGTAAAGGTACCTGAGGTTTTGGGTTTAATTCCCAGAATCTACAGGGTTGAAGGAAAGAACCGACTCCTACAGGTTATCCTCTGACCTCCATATGTGTGTTATGGCCTACAAATGATTCCATAGATACATATATGTGCACACAAAAGAAAATAAGTTAAAACATTCTTTTTAAAAGATGGTTTAGTACTTGATAAACTGTGAGCCCAATGACCATCCTGTCTCCTTCTTTCTTACAGTTGCTTTGGTGTATGTGTGCATTCATTCGGTTTGTCTTTTACTCGAATTGACATGTTTATTAAACAACAAGGAGCCTGTTCTGAGTTAGTGTACAAACCAACCACCAATAATGCATGCCCTTTAAAATTATTATTACAGGACCAATATTTTTGTTGTCTTTGTTGCTGAGACAAAAGAAACTTAAATATAAAACTATCAACATGTAGCTAAATATAGTGAAAATGACTTACTATAAAATGAAACACTCATTTCCTTTTTTATTGTTCAATATAAAAGGGAAATATCTGTCATTTATTGGAAACTTTTATAGGTCTGAATGCTACAGACTTTTAAAGCTGTAATAACTTAACATGTGGGCTACCCCTCGATTTTTACAGATGTAGTATCAGAGACAGTAAATTTCTCAAGGAACCTCAGTTATTAGTGGCACAGAACCCAAGCTCCACTTTCCTGGTCCTATCTACTACTTTTTAATCAATGTGCCACTTAAGTTTCTTTTCTTTTTTCTTTCTTTTTTTGGGGGTAAGGAGGGGATTCAGGACAGGGTTTCTCTGTGTAGCCTTGGCTGTCCTGGACTCTCTTTGCAGACCAGGCTGGCCTTGAACTCTCAGAGATCTGCCAGCAACCACCTCTATCCACCTATCTCTGTCTCACTGTATAGACCAGGCTGGCTTTGAACTCACAGAGGTCCACCCATCTCTGCTTTCTTATTGCTGGGATTAAAGGCATGTGCCAGCACTCCCTGGCTGAATTTTTTTAAATAGTTCTGTTATACACCATGAAATCATATTTATTCATGTTTGTTGACATCAAAACTTCATGCTTAACTATCAACAGGAGGGAGCATATTTCTTAGACAACAATACAAAATCACCACATAAAAGTTTTAGAAACAGAATGCCTTTTCAATAAATAGCCTTTTGAACTTATTTTTTATTTTATGTAGATTGATATTTTGCCGTGCATGCATGTCTGGTTTGTACGCCACGTAACGTGTTCAGTGTTCTTGGATGGTGTCAGATCCCCTGGAACTGGAGTTACAGTTGGTTGTTGGCTCACCAAATGGGTGCTGGAAATTGAACCTCAGTGCTCTGGAAGAGCAACCTGCACTCTTAACCCCTGACCCATCTCTCCTGTCCCTCAACAGCATTTTGGAATTAGGTATAAAGGCACAGTGTGAGGATTTGTAATTTTTTTTTCAAGTTCTGCTTCCTGCCCTTTAATGGTGAACAGGATTTTCATGAGACAAAGAGAGATTGTAAACACACACCCCCCAAAACCCAAAAAACAAAAACGAAAGACATGATTTGTGAAGACGCGAGAGCAGAGTTTAGCAGAGTAAAAACCTTGCCTGTGGTACACAAACTGCTGTGTGAATTCCAGGTACTCTTTGGGGTTAGGCAAGGTAAAGGTACTACGGACACACAAGGACTATTATCTTCATTTTTAATAACAGACATAAAATATCTACTAGGTATAAAGCCTGAGGAGGCGTTGGGAATACTAACACGGGTGAGCTATATGCAAGAGGAGTCGTCTTGTGGGGGTGTTAGGATGGGGAAAGGAATGCGTCGTGCGGGGGCTGGAGATAAGATTCCAGGAAGCCTGATAAGCTGAGTACAAGGTGGACATTCAGAAGTAGAGATGCGCTGGCTTCTACAGCTCCACGCTTCCCCGGCCAAATGCTCCCAGCTCCGAGACGCAGGTCCACGGAAGCCCTCCGTCCGCCTCCAGCCTTCTCTCCGCAACTACTAGGCCGGGGCAGCGGAGGAGGCAGGTGACAACTGCACCAGGCTGTTGAGTCGTCATGGCAACCAGAAGTTCCGCGGTCCTCACTACCCTGCTTCCACTTCCCCCCGGCTGAAGCTGGGCTCCAGTCTCGCGAGACTTGCCTGAGCACAGAACCCCGCCGCGGTGATCTCACCCGAGACTGAAGGAGGGAGGAGAGGAGGGAGGGAGGGAGGGAGGGAAGGGATGGGGCGGGGAGAAGGGCCAGTGCAGCGCCGCCACCGCCGGCAACTTTGTGAGCGAGTTCAGTACGCGCGTGAGCAAGTGAGCGGAAAGTCAGTGCGGCGCGGAGTCCTGGGGTGGGGAGGGTCGGGGAGGGAGGGTGGGCCTGGGACGCCTCCCGCAGCGCGCCCATCGCCGCCGCCCCGGGCTCCCTTCCCGCGTCGTGCCCGCGCTGATCCTGTCCCCTCCCCATCCCCCCGTGGGCAGTTACCTGTCCTCTCCCCAGCCACTCAACTCCCCTCACACCGCGCCCGGCGCGGAGCTCCGCAGCCGGTACGCTCCCCGGGCGCCGGGCGCTTGTTCGCGGGAGCCCGCGGGCGGGATGGGGGCTCGGCGCGAGCCGGGGCCCGGGCTCCTGCACAATAGTTGATGCCCGGGGACTGGTCCCTTCGGCCGCTGCGGGTAGCCCTCGGAGCGGGGCTGGGGAGCCGCGTTGATTCCCGCCCCCGCGGCTCCTACGCCGGGCGCTGGGAGCCTCGGATCTCCGCGGAGGAGGCGGCGAGCGAGCGCGCCCCGACCGTCTGCACGCTTTCTCTTTCTCCCTAGGGAGAGCGCGGGGACGACGCACCACGGACGCGCGGCGGCACCAGGAAGCCCAGGCCAAGCGGTAAGTGACCCCCGGGGGGCCAGGGCTGTGAGTGGGGGCCGGGGAGGCACTGCTGACAGTGCTCCCCACCCCCCGCGCTGTCTGTCCTTGGCTGGGGAGTCGCGGCCCGGCGCGAGACGCTCGCTGCCGCTGAAAGTTTGATTTCCGATTTGGTGGCGTGCTGGGGATCGCGATCCCGGAGCCCGGCGGGGGCGAGTCTGCGTTCCACCGCGCCCGGCGCGCGCGCACGTTCGCACCTCGGGACCCAGATCTGCTCCCCCAGAGGCCCGGAGCCCCGCGTCCCCTCCTGGTGGCTGTACTCACCCTGCGGCTCCCTGTTCCTCAGGGAGACCCTTCCCCGCCCGTCACCCGGTCAGCGTTTTGCAGGTGTGCTGGAGGGGATAAGGCCCAGTGGGTTGATTTTGGGGTAGGGAGAGGTTCGGCTCGGGCCCGAGGGCGGTAATTTCCCACCTGGGGGATCCTGGCGACTGAGATCCGAGGATGCTCCAACCTCCGTTTCTTGGAGGAAGTAAACCTTCGGAGGGTTGGAGAGGCTTGAGGTTGCCGTATAAAGAACTTTTTCCCCCCTTGCCCTTTCCAACTTCGCTCCTGACCTTAAAGGCTACTTGCCAGGTTCATAAATCGCTCCGTGGCATTTCGATGTGGGCAAGTAACCGCGTTGGGCAGGTTGAAATTTCATCGGGACTCTCCGTGTCCAAAACCAGAGGCACGGGAAATAGCTAGCTTTCAAGGGAGGTGTTGTGCTGGATTGTTGGCATTCCTCTTGGAAGGGGAAGCTTTCGGGTACGGCTAACTAACTCCCAGACTGCCTTGGAGCTTTGTAGAATTGATTTTTCCTGACGGCCAGTTGAGAGGCAGCCTTCACTGAAATTCATACTGCCTGGTCTACGATTATGTTTCTAAACTCGAGCCAGGGATGCGATGCAAATTTCAGAGGGAGGTGTCGACTTTCATCAGGTTCCAGGTCTATCTGGATGAACTGGGGTTGGCGTTTCCTCTATAAAGCGAGCCTTTCATGTTGAAACTCTGACTCAGAGTCTTAAAGCCATTCTTTTTTATACTGGTACTCTGTGGGAGTTAAGTGTCAACTTTCTCTTGCTTTCTCTAATGGGGTATCTCCCAAGGCAAAGGTTCTCTGGCTGAGTCTTTTGGATGGCCACAACATTAAACCCTACCGAATTGCTCCTGCAACCTCGTTCAGGGTCAGGAATGATTTTCTGTATCTTGGTTTAACGACTTTCCCATATCCCCTTTTCCTTTCCCGAAAGCTGCAATTAAGCTGCCTTTAACCAGGATGGAAAAAAGCTGATAGGATTATGCAGAGCAGTTAAAAGGTTTAACTTAAGAAGTTTATGGTCACTGATGTGTACAACTATGAGGTGACAACCCAGTTATTAACTATAATATTATTACTGAAGCATTTTCCCATGAAATATGTTATTGATACTAAGGCATTAACAGCAGTGATTTGAAATGACCCGGGTGACGGTTTGAACGTAAATGGTTGGGGTAAATAAGACATTTGGAATGCTGACTTGCTTCTGTGTCATTGAAAACTTGTTTCTTACCTCGCACTTAAAAGGATTCTTGCAATTGACTATCATTAATTAGATTTCTCCAGTTGACTGAGAGAACGAACGGGTTTAGCAAGTGGCTAGACACAGTCAGTAGGTGTAGCTGTTAGCCACTTTGCAGTTCCCAGGGCCTGTCACAGTCCTGGGGTCCTGGAGTTCTTAGGTTTGACTGTCAAGCAGTTATAGTTGTGACTCCTTGTCAAGGTTCTATGGAAGGCTGACTTGTACTCTTGGTAGTTATTCGTCAGCACATCACCAAAGTGATATGTTGAGATTAACTCTTTTTTTGACTCAGTTTTTTAGTAGTACTTCCTGGATTTTATATTTGTTTCATGTTTGCTTTGAATTACGTGTATAGCATTGGTATAGTGTCCTCACTTGATTTTTTTCCTATCAGCTTCATCAGCATGCTGTAGACTGAGGGTGGGTTGAGATCAGCAGTTACAATCTCTGGGATCTGGGTTGGATGCGTTAAGGTGTACATATGTTGTATTTTCAGTTGCAGTTTGAAATTTTAATCAATGATTTTTTGTTTTGTTTTGTTTTGTGTTTTGAGACAGGGCTTCTCTGTGTAGCCGTGGCTGTCCTGGATTCACTTTGCAGACCAGGCTGTCCTTGAACTCACAGAGATCCGCCTGCCTCTGCCTCCCTGAATGCTGGGATTACAAGTCGTGCACATCCCTGCTCCTCTCAGCTGTCAATGACTTTTTAAATGATCTTTTTTATTATTTATTACAATTTTTTTTATTAATTACAGTTTATTCTCTTTGTATCCCAGCTGTAGCCCCCTCCGTGGTCCCCTCCCAAACCTACCCTCTATTCCTATTCTCCCCGTATGTCCCTCTCTAAGTCCACTATTAGGGGAGGTCCTACTCCCCTTCCCTCTGACTCCAGCCTATCAGGTCTCTTCAGGACTGGCTCCATTGTCCTCCTCTGTGGCCTGGTAAGGCTGCTCCCCCCTCAGAGGGAGGTGATCAAAGAGCCAGCCACTGAGTTCATGTCAGAGACAGTCCCTGTTCCCATTACTAGGGAACCCACTTGGAGACTGAGCTGCCATGGGTTACATCTGTGCAGGGGTTGTAGGTTATCTCCATGCATGGTTCTTAGTTGGACTGTATCAGTCTCTATAAAGACCCCTGTGCCCAGATTTCTTGGTTCTGTTGCTCTCCCTGTGGAGCTCCTGTTCCCTCCAGGTCTTTCTATCTCCCCCCTTCTTTCCTAAGATTCCCTGCACTCTGCCCAAAGTTTGGCTATGAGTCTCAGCCTCTGCTTTGCTACCCTGCTGGGTAGAGTCTTTAGGGGCCTTCTGTGGTAGGCTCCTGTCCTGTTCCCTGTTTTCATTCTCTTTCGATGTCTGTCCCATTTGCCTTTTCGGAGTGAGGATTGATCATCTTACCCAGGGCTACGTGATCTCCTAGAGCGCAGACAGCAGCATGAGTGGAACCAAAACCTGAGGTCAGATTTTTGGGCCAACTTAGTAGAAGGTCTACGTGATGTCACCTGCCTGTTTGTCTTTTTATTACCAAAGGTCCGGTCATTGCACACGTGGTATGTCTATCCTGAAGGTTTTGAGGTTACCTGGTTTTGAGCCTTTTGGTTCACTAGCCAGATTGGGATGGCAACGCCCCCAACTCCAGCCCTGCTTAAACTCTGATGGAGCAAGCTCCTTTGTTTCATTTCATATCACAGAAGGTGAATCTCAAAACTTGAAAAGAATTTTTCCTTGTAATTTCCCTTTTGAGTCTTGTGAGTCAAGCAGTGTTTACTGAGTGCCACCGTCTGGGTTGTTTCTCTTGGTTTCTGTGACTCCAGTGATGAGCATCGTTATTCTCGGCTTTAGGGAGCTGTTGGTCCAGGGGACTGTGGGTTCACACCCACATCTCAGGGTGGGTGAGGATACCCCCCATGTCCAAGATTTTACGTATGAGGCAGTTTTGATTTTTCAACTTATTTGAAAAGTTTGAAATTCTTATCTTTAGAAAGTGTGGCTATCAAGTATCTGCTCTGCTATTTTCTGCCTGGGTTGACCTTAGCTGTACCCCTTCCGAGCTCACTGTCATGTGCTGCAGCTTGAGCACACAGTTGTGTCCTAGCTTTGCTACAGAAATCAGCCAGAATGTGTGTGTGAAAATACTTGGTAGCTCAAGTCTCATTTGCAGTTGCACTTTCTAACCCTTTGATGAACAGGTTCATGGGTGGCTGAAACTAGAAGGGACTCTGAGCACAGTTCCTTTAGCTTCAGGAGTTGACATGATTTGTATGTTATAAAACTAGATATAGCCAGCATTTAGGATAACTGGGCTTCCCGATTTAAACATGTTCCTCTGCTTCACCTTTTGTTTTTTGCCTACTGATCATGTTTAAGTTTGTTTACTCTTTCTTTCTTATACTTAAGTAGTCAGTGATTTTTAAATAACTAAAATAGGGGAGAAGCAAAGCTAAGGGAAATAGTAGCCACATTAAAGCTGAACAGCTATGAAAATAATATCAATGTTGAGTTTGGTGCCTAAATTGTGGAATTACTCAGATAGCTAAGTTATGGAAAAAGGAACCATAAATTAAAATTTCTGCACAGTAGAGCATGGAGGCATTTTTATTATTATCCCCTTAGTGTCCTGATGCTCTTTAGAAAAGTAAAACTTTCTTGTTGTCCATCTTTCCCTTCCCTTAAGTTCATTTGCAAAAGAAAGGAGTTGTGCTCGCCTTGTTTCTGGGACAGTGGCAACCTTTAGTTTGTGGCAACCTTTAGCTCTGTGGAAGGGTTGCAGGGGTTTGTGTTGGGTGATGGGAGGAGGGTTGCATGTGCCACAGTTCCTGACTGTGGGAGCCCTCTCTGGGAAACCCGGCAGGCTTGTGTGTGGTGGGAGACACATCCCTGCTGGCTGCAGACTTAGGAGAGCGGCTGTCCCTGTCCCTGGGGATGGAGAGAGAGCAAACAGTGCTTTACTTCAGGGTTCACAGAGAGGTTTGCGTTACATGCTGTGTCTCCTGAGACCGATCGTCCAAACGCAGGCAGTCACTTCTGCTTTTCTGCATGTTGGTGATTGGCCTTATGGCATGTTTGCTTTCACAGTTGTCTTGTTATGCCTTCATAATTAAAAACAAAACATACTTGTATGATACTTTGTTTTTCAGGCACACATTTAAGTTGATTATTCCTAAAGGATAGCTCATGCCTTTGGCTGGGCTTTTGATGAGTTCTGGTATGTGAGCCAGGGGAAGGTGGGAACAATTCCCCTGACTCCAGCCCTCTTAAACACAGGTGGTTTGAGCAAGGGACACAGTGTGGTCTTAATTTGTAACCAAGAGGGTAAGGAAAAGCATCCCAGTGCATTTTTTGAGGGAGAGAAAACTTGCCTTCTCATCTCATCCTCTGTCCTTCTTCATTTCTTCTGTCCAGATGGAACAAGATGTCCCAGATGCAAA